GTGTACACTTTTTGTGTACACATTTTGTGTACCTCAAGCATTAGTCAAACCGATTTAGATCATAACCTAACGAGTTGAACTTTGTGTACACTTTTTTTTTGTGTATACACTTTTATACATGTCTGTATAGGATTGTTTTTTGTTTGTATACAGACAAAACGTATTTGTTTCAAATATATTTTGTTTGTATACAAACAAAAAACAACCCTACACAGACATGTGTAAAAGTGTGTACACAAAAAATCGTGTACATGATCACACAGACAAAAAAGTGTGATCATGTAAAAATGATCACATTTTATGAAATACTCTCTCCCTCAAACTTTCTTTTTTTCCCAAGGGAATCATAGCTGAGGGGTACCGAGGACGTCATAGCCGAGGGGTGCTGAGGGGTACTGCCGAGGGCATCATGGCCGAGGGCATCATGGCCGAGGGGTGCCGAGGGGTGTCGAGGGCTTCCAATGAATGTCTGGATTGCATGAGTATGTGGGTCAGGGGGTCCTGGATCATATACTCCATCAAAAACGATGTGGTAAACGCATTTTTTTGTTTTCTTTTCTCCAGTTTTCCAGCAATTTTCTTTGGTAAACACGTTTTCTATTTTCTGTTTTCCAGTTTTCGGGAAAACTGGAAAATATTTCTGTTAGTAAATAGGCCCTTATTTTTCCTCCCAGATGAAGCAAATTTGCAAAGGAAAACGAAATCATCAAATAAAAAGAGGAAATCAGCTTTTCCTGAAGAGTAAATGATATGGTGTTAAAGTAACTAATCCAAGCATATTGATACAATTATCCGAGTATGCAGCTTTCACCGATACTGTTTATTAATTAATAAATATTACTACCTCCCTCCCACTAAGATTGGGACATGAGAAGGTGACACGGTTAAATTGATAAAGTAAGAATAAAGTAGGAATGATTTAGATTCACACAAACTTTACCAAATTTGGTATGAGACAATCTTAGTAGGACTTCCCGAAAAGGTAAAATGAGACAATCTTAGGGGACGGAAGGAGTAAAAGTTTGCCACCACTGGTGGAGGTGGAATAAGAAAATCGATAGCAGAAGATTCAAAAATTAATAAATTACAAAATTAAATCAATTAATGAGTAAACTTACCTGTGATGTAAGGGAGCAAATAAGAATTTCTTCATTCTAAGTGAACTAAAACAATCTGGACGAATGTGGTATAATCGTCTCAGTGAATACCTTCTCAAAGAAGGATATAAGAATGATCCAATTAGTCCATGTGTTTTCATTCGGCAATCAAATTCGGGATTCGCCATAATTGCAGTATATGTTGATGACTTAAATATTATTGGAACTCCCGATGAAATTGAAAATACTGAATAATATCTTATGAAAGAATTTGAAATGAAAGATCTCGGGTAGGGCTGGACTCGGGCCGGGGGCCGGCCGGGCCTCGGGCCAGGAAAGGGGAGGCCCGAGCCCGAACCGCCGGTGGCCGGTTCCAGGCCAAACCGGGCCGGGCCGAACCGGCCCAAGTTTTTTTTGTTCTATTTAATCCCCTACCCCTCCCCCTCAACCCCAAACCATCCCAAACCACCTCAAATGGCCCAAAATACCTAATCCAACCTAAAACTTAAAAAAAATTCAAAAAAAAAAAATTAAAATCCGGCCCGGACCTGGCCCGAACCGGCCGGGCCGGGCCAGTTCACCAAAACCTGGGCCCGAGCCCGGACCGCCCAGCACCCGGGCCGGGCCAAACGGAACCGGTGGACCCACCGGGCCACGGGCCGGGCCAAACAGTGACCGGGCCGGTTCGGTCCCGGGTCGGGCCGCCCGGCCCGAGTCCAGCCCTAATCTCGGGAGAACCAAATTTGGTCTCGGACTTCAAATTGAGCATTTGAAGAATGGAATTTTCATCCATCAATCCAATTACACCGAGAAAGTTTTGAAGAGATTCTACATGGACAAAGCTCATCCATTGACTTCACCAATGGTCATTCGATCTCTCAACATACATGATGATCCATTCCATCCCCGAGAAGACGACGAAGATATACTCGGTCCCGAAGTACCATATCTGAATGCTATTGGAGCTTTAATGTATTTACCTAAAAATACTAGTCTGGATATTGCATTTTCTGTAAATTTATTAGCTAGGTACAACTCATGTCCAACAAGACGTCATTGGAACGGGATCAAGCACATATTCCGTTATCTCCGTAGTACAATTGATCTCGACCTATTCTACCACAAAGATGCAACAACTTCTTTAATCGGATATGTAGACGCCGGATACTTATCGGATCTTCAAAAGGCAAAATCACAAACCGGGTACGTATTTACTTATGGTAACACTGCAATCTCATGGAGATCTATGAAGCAAACATTGACAGCAACATCATCAAATCATTCGGAGTTAATTGCACTTTATGAAACTGGGAGGGAATGCGTGTGGCTGCGATCTATGATTCAACACAACCAAAATGAATGCGATATGAAACATATTACTTGTCACCCTACTGTGATCTATGAAGACAACACCGCATGCGTAGCTCAAATTAAAGAAGGCTACATCAAAGGAGACAAAACATAACAAATATCACCAAAATTCTTCTCTACTCATGATCTGGACAAAGAAGGGACGATCACCATTCAACAAATCAGATCGAGTGAAAATCCGGCCGATCTCTTCACCAAATCTTTACCCCTGAAGAAATTCATAGAACTTGTATAGAAAATCGGCATGCGCCACCTTCAAACTTTATGGTAATTCAGGGGGAGTATTTGAATGCACTACACTCTTTTTTCCTTCATCAGTTTTTTATCCCACTGAGTTTTTCCTGATAAGGGTTTTAACGAGACAATACATCCAAATACAACGACATTATAAGTCGTAATTTTTACCCCTTAATTTTCACACTAATCCTCACAATAAATTTTTAAATACAAACAACTATTCTCAAGGATGAACATTCAAGAGGGAGTGTTGTAAAACCCTGGAAATGAGAAGTGTGAATTGTTTATCCTTATCATCATCCTTGTAATCAGGACACTAAGGGCCTGTTTACTAACAGAGATATTTTTCAGTTTTCCAGAAAACTGGAAAACTGGAAAACAGAAAACAGGAAACGTGTTTACCAAAGAAATTCCTAGAAAACTGGAGAAAGGAAAAAAGAAAAACGCGTTTACCAAATCGTTTTCCAAAACGGAAAAAATGAGACATGTCTCTCTTTTCCTTAATGATTTGGAGAAGTGACTTTTACTAGTTTTCCAAATTTGGAAAACGCAGAAGCTACAGTGCCGCTGCAATGAATTTGCACACTTACACCTAGTGGTGGGTCCGGTCCTGCTCCGATGTCGATTCCATTCCGGTACCTCCATCCTCGTACCTTACCCCTTACCCCTACCCTACCCACCCAACCCCACCCCGCATACCCATTTTTCCCTATAATGACCCTACCCCACCCCGATCCACCCTACCCTACCGCCACCCCCTACCACCTCGACCCCACCCCGACCCACCCTACCCTACCCCCACCCGTATATTACCCCTTACCACATGCCCCTACCTCGGCCCCACCCCACCGCCATCCTACTCCCACCCTCGTACTGTCATCCTACCCCCACCCTTCCGCCATCCTACCACCATCCTACCCTTCCCCTACCTCGGCCCCACCCGACCCACCCTACCCTACCCCTACACGTATATTACCCCTTACCCCTTACCACATGCCCCTACCTCGGCCCCACCCCACCGCCATCCTACCCCCACCCTCGTACCTCCATCCTACCCCCCACCCTTCCGCCATCCGACCACCATCCTACCCCCACCTTACCCTTCCCCTACCTCGGCCCCACCCAGATCCCGGGCCCACCCTATCGCCATCCTATCCCACTACCCCTACCTTACCCCAACCCTACCCACTACCCCACCCTTACCGCCATCCTACCCCCCACCCCATACCCCTTCCTTACCTCAGCCCCACCCTGGTCCCGACCCCACCATACCGCCATCCTATCCCAACTCCATACCCTACCTCTACCTTACCCCAAACCCTACCCACTACCCCACCCTTACCCCTAACCACGACCCTAACCCACCCACCACCCCCACCCAACCCCCTACCCCTAGACCTTACCACCCCACCCCGACCATACCCCTTACCCCACCCCCACCCATAACTTCCCTACCCCGACCCCTATGAGTAGGTATGGGTGGGTATGAAGGGTTGTGGGGGAGTGTGGGTAGATTGTAAGATCGTGGTAAGGGTAGGGGTCAAGGGTGTGGAATTGGAGAACTGGGTGAAAAAATTGATGAACATGTTTTTCAGAATTGAAAATGGAAAACTAAAACATAGAAACATAAAATTGGAGATAGAAAAAATGAAAAATAAAAACAGAAAATTGGAGAACGAAAAACAGAAGTAGAAAACAGAAAAATTTCTCTGTTAGTAAACAGGCCCTAAGCTTCTTACCATCCTTGTAATCATAGATAGATAAATGACTAGTTTAATGATGTCAGCAAGATGTGTAGAATTACTCCTTGATGATTCATCACCAAACCCAACTAGTATAAATAGAGTTTGATCAATCACTTGTAAATTAATTAAGAAACTCTAGAAATTCAGAATTTCTCACATATTAAGAATAAGAATAATATCCAGACTTTTATCTTTATATCTATCTTTTAAATCTATTCTGCATCTTCTACGTCTCACAAAAAAGTACATTATTTTTCATCCAAAAAACAAAAAAAGTACATTATGTGAAATTATACGGAGTACTTTCGTACTCCCTCCGTCCCTAATAACTTTGCCAAGTTTGATCGGCACGAAGATTAATAAAGTAAAAACTGTGTGGTTGAGGTTTGTGCAAATGAGAGAGAATTAAATGGAACCACAAATTCTTTACTAAAATGATAAAGTGACAAAGTTAATGGGACATCCAGAAAAGGAAAATTGACAAAGTTATAAGGGACGAAGGGAGTATAAAACAAGACGAGGACAAAAGTAAACCAAGCTGACCCAAACTGTGCAGCCTCGACGCGTCTTTAAAAACATCCTAAGCCTTCTCACACGGCGTTGGCTAGGGAAGAAAAAAGAGAGACCATCCCTAGAGAGAAGAAAGAGAGATAAAGAAAGAGAAATATGGCAAGAGCGGGTTTATTAGGCGGTTGCCTTCCCTCAACGGCAGCGGCGACGACAAGTCTTCGGAAACATCAATCACCACCCAAATCTCTGCCTTTAAAAGGGATTTTCAACCAAAAATCGGCGGTTCGGATTCGCTGCTGTCTCTCTCCACCGAGTGGTTACCTTTTGCCCAGGGTGGGGAAGTTGCTAACTGTGGCGCCATATTATCTGAGCGATCAGGTTGTCAAGCTTTTTTGTGGCGACAATTATGGTGCGCGCTATTTAGCTTTCGCCATCGATTTGGTCGATAAACACCAGCGCCTTTATAAGAAGCTTAAGCCTACCGTGGATAAGTTTTTCCAACTGGATTTATCCAATGACCCGAGCTACATAGACGGTGAGTAATACGGAGTACTTAAACTAGTAATACGGAGTACTTAAATTAGTAAAGTTCAGTTTCTTTTTACACTATTCACAGCTCTACTTTGACCAAATTTTAAGCTATTATTTTATGAAAATTATTTTTAAAAAAAGATATTGTTTAATTCATCTCATTACAGAGTTTCAAAATTCGATTTTTAAATTTTTTTTACTAATAGAGATTAAATATAATTACGGTCAAATATGGAATGTTTACCGTTGCAAATAAAACAGAACGGAGTAAGTATTTGTTTGGGCAAATAAAACAGAACGGAGTAAGTATTTGTTTGGGCAAATAAGCCACCTACTAAAAAAACTCAAATAAGCCCTTGTATTATATTATATTATATTGAAGGTTGGGTCCGGCCTTTATTTGAGTTATTTGAGGAGGTTCCTACCAAATTTCAAATAAATTCTTGAAGATAATTGCGTTTTTAATTGTTCATTTGAATGTCTTCCGGATTAAAGTTTTAGCTGAAATTTTGTATAGGTAAATTAGACTTAATAATGAGTAATATATACGTTAAAAAAATTTCATAAACAGAGCGTCATATATATAAGTCCTTATATAAGGACTTATTTGACTTTTTTGGTTAGTACTTGAGCTTATTTGACCTTTTCTCTTGTTTGATAAGCTCTGTTGACTGTTCTTATATGATACAATACGGTTGCAGTTCAACAACACGGTTTTGTTGTTACAGTTCGGCTTTTGTGGTTATATATACTCCTATTTTTTTTAGTGTGGGCCTAGGTCCTCCCTGACCCTGCGCGCACACACACATATATACTCCCTCAGGCGCTTCTGTGCTTCATGCGCAAAAGATGTGCCTCAGTCAGGCGCAAAGAGTCATATGCGCCTTGCTTGGTGCGCTTAAGCGCCTCTGGATATCATATTGTTTTTGTAGGAGTACATAGACAATTTTAGTTAGTATTAGAACGTAATGTTCATAATGTGGTGGAAATTTATCAAATGTGGATGTTAGTAATATAGTGCCAGTTTGACCCTCTCACCAAGTTTCCAAGATGCCACATATTGCCAGTGATATACATATCTATAAAGTATAAATAAACTTGTTGCTGATATGTGTGTGTGCAGATTGCATAGAGATATTATTGGGGAATGAAGACTGTTGGATATGTACTCATTCAATGGTGACTTGCAAATCTAGATACTCTCTCTCTCTCTGTGTCCATAACTCTCTTTGCAGTTGTGATATTATGTACTCCTTCAGCTGATTATTTTTATGACCCATAAATCTACTTGGGAATATATATGTAGTTATTAGCTGAACATTTATTCATCCTAGCTAGCCGCTAGATATAGGGTATGTTTGTTGCAACTAGTTGGAAAGATATTTTTATGAGCTTTGTAGTAACTATTAAATTTTAGTGACCAGAAATATCTTAAAATAAAAAGGTGATAATTGTTTGACACAAAACCAACTGTTTGATTTAGTTCTCTTTGGCATACAAGCTGTTGAGACTAATTAATACTAAAAGCTACAAACTTCTCTCTAGTGTATCATCTCAAAAAAGTTCTTTTATTTTGAAAAAAGCTATTACAATTGTCATGCCAAACATTCAACTAGAAGCTTTTAGAGACTTTTAAAATAGGACAAAAGCTAGAAGGTAAATACTTATGCCGACCAGGGTAGTCAATACTCAATAGCGCGCGCCTGAGCGCTTAAGCGCACCAGGCAAGGCACATATGAAGGTCAGCGCCTGATATAGTCCCAGGTGCAGTCACCTGAGTGAGGCGCAACTTAGCCACTTAGGCGCAATAAGCGCAGAAGCACAGAAAAGCGCACGCTTATGTCGCCTTCCTTCACCTGAGTGAGGCGCAACTTAGCCACTTAGGCGCAATAAGCACAGAAAAGCGCACGCTTATGTCGCCTTGCCTGGGAAAGGCTTATTAGCCTATTTATTTGTTTGATTCTGCTGTAAATAATAAAGCCCATACATATATAAGATTTAGCCCATTCAAGTAATAGGTTAAAACAACTTAAACGCATGTTAAATCCTTTTAAGTCACAGTAAAAGCCTTTTATATAGCGTGACTTCATCATTACTCTCATATGCTCTACTCACACAATCGGTTCAATGCTGAAACAACGATATTGATCAACCCACATAAGCCAGAAACCCATAAGGTGTCATCTTCATCATCATCATCCCATGTTATTTCTTCTTTCTTTTTTTCAGTTTGTAGTCTTCATTTATTTTGTCATCTTCTTGATGATCCTTTCTTTTTATTCTTTCAGTTTATCTTCTTCCTTTACTTTTATAGTTCTCTTTGATTCTTATCTAATCCATACAGCTCAAGCATATTGCATGTATAATGTATCTAACTATGAATACTTTATAGTTCTCTTTGTTCTTAGATATTCTATACTTTACAGTTCTCTTTGATTCTTTTGTATTATATACTTTATAGTTCTTTTGCTTCATATATATTCGATACTTTATAGTTCTCTTTGCTTCAGCTTATTATACTATCTTCTTATTATCACTTCGTACTTTAATTGTATAAAACTTCATATACTCTAACTTAGTTAATATAGTTCTCTTTGCTTCTTATATATTCTATACTTTATAGTTCTCTTTGCTTCATATATATTCTATACCTTATAGTTCCCTTTGCTTCATCTTATTATACAGTTATCCCTATATCTTCTTAAGTTCTTATTATTTCTTCATATAATCTAACTTAGGTAATAGTTTCAAACACTACACAATTCATGCTACTCCTAGTCCTGAAACTGCAAAATCATCTAAAACTGACCCTACCAGAGTACCAGGTGTTTTGTTTTTGTGAACCATGACTTTATTTTTGTAGATTGTGACTTTGTTATTGAGAAACATGATTATTTAATGCATTGATAGAGACTGGTATTAATCAAGCAAGAACAATAACAGATCTCCAAGGTCTAAGTCCATGGAAATTATGCAGAAAAGAGATAGAAGTGTGTTTATTGAATAGAGAAGAACCGAAATAGGTATACAGTGATAGGGACGATTCGAGATGCCCGGTCTCCAAGGTCTAAGTCCAATCCAAAATAACAGCCTACTATGCCCAGCCCTTACTCTTTCTATTTATAGTACTATATCCACGCAGGGATAAAACGTAAAGCAACAGTACTCAATTAACTTGCTATTTGCCAGACTACCCCCGGGCCCTTCTTTGATAAACCTTATTATGATATTGAGTAGGCTGCATAGCTGGGTGTCTATGAACATTCCCCCCTAAATAACCACCTTGTCCTCAAGGTGGGTGATAGAGATCAGCCATGACCTTCCTATTCAACTTCATTCTTGCACCCCTCCCTTCCCAATATCTCCCAAATTGTTTGGCCATGAACTTGAGTACTTCTGTCCTCTTCACTTCTTTCATAGCAAACAGGAGCTGAAGCTGGATATGAAAACTCCCTGGAATTACGTTGTCAAAGAGAATACTTCTTTAACCCATCGCTGCATTGTACCTATCCCCATTTCCACTTTGACCAAGCTTCTGACCTGAAATTGAATAAGGTCCTACATGTCTTACATGATAACCTAACCTTGAAGCCTCTTCATTGTAACCAATATCATCATATAAAGGTCCCAGATCTTCATCATAATTCCTCAGTCTCTCATATAAGGCAGACATAATATGAGGTGTTTCAGCTCTAAACGGATCAAAGAACAAACCAGTATTAATAGGTCCAAAAACCTTATCATGATTCTGAGATTTGATGACAGCACTGAACTTCTTTATTGCATGAATTTTTCTTTCATCAATGCTATCAAGAACAAATTCATCAAATAACATTATCTGTGGATCCTCCTGTGCCCATGATTTTGCCAAGGCATCCCGGAGTAATATAATACGGTCACCAACCTGAGCTTGGTCCTGACTTTCAGTATAAGCAACGCCCTTCTTCATCTGCAGCAAACTCCCCTCCTGGTACACTAAATACCCATCTCCTGTGACATAGTTTTCAAAGAAACCTCTATTGAATTCAGCTGGGGATCTCCTCAGTGATGTCAATCGCGCGCTATAGCGGCGCTATAGCGGTGGAGCGGAGCGGAGGAGAGGTCTGGCGCTACAAGACCTCCTGTAGCGGAGCGTTTGGGTGTAGCGGGCTTTGCGGGCGCTATAGCGGGGACGCTATACAGGTAGAGGCGGACGCTATAGCGCCGCTTCTTGCGGTCGAAGGTGTTGGGGGGTTTTCTGCGTTTATTTTTTGACTGCGGAAGGACAGGGGTAAAGTAGACTTTTAAAACTTAACTAGTAACCAAGTTAAAGCCCTTGTACGTACGCAGAAGTGTAGAACGCGGCTATATGTTTTAATTAAAAAAAAATCCGTATGTCTTCTCTTCTCTCTGCTCTGTTCATTTACAAAAAAATCTGCTCCGTCTTTTTCAAGAACGACCTGTGATCTTTCATCTTGTACATGACACATACTACACTCCTTTTTGTTTCTTTCCAGTAGACTGATACGCTATTAATTTATTAAGGCTTGAACCAGGAACTTATTTTTGATTCAATGTTTTGACTTAGATGTTTTAATCATTAATAGTATCCTATATTCCTATGTTTTGCTCATGAAACTAAGAAATATTTCATAGTAATTTAGGATTTAAGAATGTTAAGATGTTTGCAACTTTAAATGGCATATATCAGACTTTACTAATGTGTATGTAATGTCATTATATGTTTCTAGTTAATTAAGTATTATACTTAAAAGTAGTTTGAATAGCGGTCATCCCGCTATCCGCTATACCGCTATAGCGTTTTCAAGGCTGACCGCTCTGCTCCGCTATCTGGGATTGAAAACACTGGATCTCCTTGGATATTTTGCTCCAACCCTTGTACCTTCCATTTAATACTTTGCTTCTGAAAGTTGATTTCCACACCCCCTGGCTGGTTAACCACTCCATTCCCAAAACTAAATCAGTTCCTTCTAACTCCAGCATATAGTAGTTCTGCTTTATGTCAGTATCCTGCATACATAAGGTTAGATCCTCACATCTACCATTGTTGGACATCTTCTCTCCATTCCCAATTTGAACCTTGTATCCTGAAATGGTAGTATAGGGCAGCTCTAGCTAATCAACTATACTCGGAGATATGATATTGTGGGTAGCCCCACTGTCTATTAGAACTTCCACCTTGAAAGCCCTCATATATGGTATTCCTTCTTGGCTCATGGGGAATAATTGCATTGATTTGGACTCCATAGTAACTTCCTCCTCCTCAGAACTGTCAGAATCCTTATCATGCTCCTTCTCCCCATCTGAATCTTCTACCAGCATCATCTTATACTTTTTCAGTTTACAAATGTGCTCTTTGTTCCACTTCTCCCCACATTTAAAGCAGTCCCTTCCTACTTCTTTCCTGAAACTCTTCCTGAGATAACTGAAGACCTACTTTTCTGATTCCTTAAGGGTTTATTTCAGTCACCCTCTTTCCCATCTTCTCAAACTGTTCATTGAAATCCATGTTTTCAGCTGCACCTTTGCCATTATTGTTCGACCCAGAGTTCCCTATTTTTGCTTTAAATCCATCCACCCAAGTCTGAGATTTAGTAGTAGTGGGTCCTTTCTCCTTCCATAAGAATCTGTCTTCCTCCTTCCTTTTCAAATACATTGCCTCATTTCTGCTTTCAATCAATATGGCCCAGTCCATTACTTCAGCTAAGGAATTCGTGTTGTGCAGTTTCAGCTAAGCTTTGACCTCGGCCTTCAAACCATTGATAAAAATGCCTTTCAGGATTTCAGTATCCACATTAATCTGGGGTGCTATCACCATTTCAAACTCATCTCGGAATTCTTGCACTATCCCTATCTGTTTCAGGCTTAGCATAGGTCCATAGGGGTTTTGAATCAAGTCAGGCTGGAACCTTCTGATAATAGAGGTTTTCAGAGTTTCCCAATTCCTCCTCTCAGTCTGATGCTCCCACCAAATGAACCAGTTGATCGCCCTGCCCTCCATCGCAACCACAGCTGCTTCAACCTGTTATTCTTCATGAATATGATTTACTCGGAAATACCTTTCCATCCTTACAATCCAGTTGTACGCACTATCCCCAGTGAAAATTGGTATATCAATTTTTCTACCGGTTTGGATAGAAAACCGGTTATGATTCTCAGGATCTCTGTGAGGTTGGATGTGAGTGTGAGTGGGATTACCTCCAGAGGTCATGGGGCTGCGAAAAGATCGCACATGATGCTGAGGTGGCAATCGCGATCTAGCTCTGGGCCGATTAGGGTCAGATATCGCGTTGACGGACGCAGTCAGATTTGCCGCCAAGGCCTCCATTGCTGAACGAAGCTCGTCCCTCATGCTTCTATTCTCGTCCCTCATGATTCCATTCTCCTCCTTCAACTCCGATTGCACCTCCTGTATTCTACGCTCCACAGTATCCATGCACAACTCCATGTTTGCTCTCGTCCTGACCATCCACTTCTGAACGTGAGCTTGTGTACGTCGCATAGTAGATCCGATCACCAGAAACAAGGTTTTGACTCTCGCTGCTGAAACGTGGGCTCAGCTACCCTCGCCTTTCACCTCCGATTCCCCAGGAGCTACGCTTGTTGAAGTCGCAACTCACTTCCGATCCCCAGGAGCTATGCTCTGAGATGTTCGATGATGATTTTCTCTGCCTCCAGGAAGCTGCTTGCTCTGATACCAATGATAGAGACTGGTAGTAATCAAGCAAGAACAATAACAGATCCAGGGAAATTATGCAGAAAAGAGATAGAAGTGTGTTTATTGAATAGAGAAGAACCGAAATACGTATACAGTGATAGGGACGATTCGAGATGCCCAGTCTCCAAGGTCCAAGTCCAATCCAAAATAACAGCCTACTATGCCCAGCCCTTATTCTTACTATTTATAGTACTATCCACACAGGCATAAAACGTAAAGCAACAGTACTCAATTAACTAGCTATTTACCAGACTACCCCCGGGCCCTTCTTTGATAAACCTTATTATGATATTGAGTAGGCTGCATAGCTGGGTGTCTATGATGCATTTAGTCAAATATGATGTTGAATATGTCATATTTGATCACTCTAGAATAGAATACATAATATTTTCTAAATAGTGCGCCTGACATGAGTCAGACGAGTGCTTTTTTGCGCCTTGCACCTCAGGCGATATAAATACTCTAGCGCCTTGAGTGCGCCTTTCGACTTTGACTACCTTGATGCCGACCAAACATGCTCATAACTTATTTAAGGATGGCAGCAAACTAGCTATCTAAAAGAATCAAAGTTCTAGTAACTGCAGCGATCCTGACTCGCTGCAGATGCATGCATGTCAACTTAGATGTGTGTATACTAGCAGTTTCATTTGTTGCCCAGCTCCTTAACTGTCATCACAGACTTACTGTATGGTGTTGCATGATATTAGTAGATTTTAATAAAGATATGATTTCATAATGAGAAATAAATCATAAATTATTTCTCATAAATAGGACTTGTTTTAGGAGATCACCATAATCACCAAAATGCTTTATGCTGATGCATGAGGCCAGTAGATTTTTGTTTTAAAATAGAGAATTTCATAAATAGAATTAGAACAAATCTTATGCTAAACCATAAGATTTGACTAATTATATTCTTCTTAAAGGACTAAGTAATCATTTTGTTATGATAAACCATACATACTTCTATTTGTGCACTTTTTTCCAGTTAATTCCTATTTAGACAATTTCTTTTGAAAATAAAAACTTAGATAATTACACAAATACTGCTATATTGCCGCCTAAAGTCCAGCCCTTGTTGATTTTAAGTGTCAAATATTCATGTAGTAGCGCAACATAGGCTCTGTATTGGTCTGCATGTGTGGTGCGTGTGAACTGAGTGTGTGTGCCTTTGTGTCTATGTGTGTATTAGGAGAATCCAGCCTCAAAACTGGCAGAAGCTTTTGGAAGGTCTTATGACTACAAGTTTGATGATATTTGTGCCAGGAAAAACTCCAAGAACACTGTCAAATGTACTAAGGTGTTGCCCCTTTGTTTTGTTTTGTTTTGTTTTGTTTTGTTTTGCTTTGCTTTGTTTTGTTCTTAAATTTATGCTGATTAATTGAACTAACATTGAATCCACCATACATGCACTGACTATATACACTTAGCCTAAGCTTATCATGCAGGTTTTATTGCTCATCAGTTTAACAATGTTTTTGGTTGGATTGAAGGAATTCACATTCCAGATCTGTTAACTTTTAAGCCTTCGTCAGCATGGTGAAATATTTGATCTAAAAAGAGATTTTACTGTTTGAATAGTATGTGAGAATTTTATAGGAATTATATAGAATGCTTGAGCTAAGTAGTTATATCGCTACTCAGTAGCAACTTGGTCAAGGGCCGAGTAGCGATTAGGACCAAATACTCGGGATTACTCGGTCTTATATTAATTTTAAAAATATAAATATCTGAAATTACAGTAATATATTATTTTTATAATTCTTAGATATGAATGAAATAATAATAATAATTCTAATGAAGAAGAAACGAGAAAGAAGATAGCAGAGAATAACTTACCGAGAGATGAGGAATCACTGCCGGAATGAGTCCATGTCTGAAATACTTCTAAAATCTAGACTTTTTAAGGTTAATTTCCACTTTTTAAATTCCCACTCATTATTTGGGAGAAGGCTCAAAAAAGACACTATGGTTATCTATGCAGTTCGGATTTGACATTAAACTTTTAAGCGGACCAAATTAACACATAAATAACTTTTTGGAGCTACATTTAGCCACCCACTAACATTTCTTTATAACGGAAAGATCTCAACATTAACAATTCTTTATCCCTTCTAATTTAACAATTAATCCACAAACAAATGAATGGAAATCTAGAAGATGTCATTCACTTTCTAATTTACAAACCCTAAGTCACCGTCTTTGTCTTTTTCGGAACATGAAGAAAATCCCTGCCTTGGCCTGGAGTAGGAGGTGAATTTCAAGTGGGGCTCATAGACATTCTGCGCACAGGTCGAAACACTACTTCGCCGCCGGTGGATTTGGTGCGGTGGGTTTTAAAGCTTTGGTCAATTTTGTTACCGCACCGTCCGCACGTATGGCTTAACTTTTGGGAAAAACTTCTCTGCCGCCGGTGGACTCTGTCATCTGCTTCCGTTCAAAGTTGCCAGATCCGAAGAACCTCAGAGAACCTCTTCCCAACATGTATGTGACACTTTTCAATCCACTAGTCTGGATCTGTATGTCGCTGAAATTCTAGGTAACGGGGGAGGTTCCCGTCATTGGAAACCGGCAAGGTACTTGCTGGACCAAAATCTGGCTTATAACAAATTTCACTAGACTTGTCAACGGTATTCCAACCACCGCTTAAAGATGAGTAAAATTGTGACCATAAGAATTAGCACAATCAAGAAGATTAAGAAACTGGTTGGAGTTCTTTTGTGTTATTTCTCCTCTTGTTCATCTTCTATGTTTTGGCTTCTTTGGTGTACTAAGAACGTATTTTCACATGTTTGGGATGAAGGGACTTGAACGACAGAACACAGAAGAGAGAAAGATGATAAGTTTTAGTCTTTTAGATGGAGAGAAAAGAAGAGACGTGAAAAGCCACGTTAGATGATAAGAAGCGTTAACCCTGGAGCACCGTCAAATTGAACAGTGAATGGGTGGCAAAATGTTATCAAAATAAGTGGATTTTGTATTAATTTGGTCCACTTAAAACCTAAGTGTTCAATTTGAACTTCATAAATAACCTTAGTTTTCTTTTTGAGCCTTCTCCCTTTTTATAAAATGGGAGAAGGCTCAAAAAAGACACTATGGTTATCTATGAAGTTCGGATTTGACATTAAACTTTTAAGTGGACCAAATTAACACATAAATAACTTTTTGGAGCTACATTTAGCACCCGCTAACATTTCTTTATAACGGAAAGATCTCAACATTAACAATTCTTTATCCCTTCCAATTTAACAATTAATCCACAAACAATTAATGCTTATAAAATTTGACAAAAGATAAATATTTTATGACTACCCCGATTAACTTGCCGAGTAAAAAAATATCGAGTCGAGAAACTCGCATAGTACTCGGTGAGTAACTTAAAAAATAGGGCTAGACGAAACAGCCACTCCCCGAGTTGCGAGTACTCACTCAGTACTCTGCCGAGTAGATTACACATATCACTTGATTAGTCCCCACCTAACGTTTTTTTCCGAATGAAACACATCTTATTGTGTGTTTATGTATATACTTCCTCCTCAAAATAACTTGCAACATAAGGCCGGCCACACAAATTAAGATATACTGCCTCCATCTCTCAATTAAAGTCCCAGTTTAACTTTTTAAATTTTAACCATTAATTACTCAAAATTAACAATATTTTATCAGACGAAATTAATTTTATATGTTTGATTGTAATATATATTATTCAAATGTCAATTTATTATAGATTATATAGGCATATATTTATAGATAATTATCGTCAAATGTGTGTCTTGGAGACTCTAAAGTCACACCGGGTCCTTTATTGTGGGACGGAGGGAGGAGTACAAAGAAAGGAAACCTTTTCCATTCCTGCTGTCGTCCATACTACACACAATGTGCTACAGTTGTTAGTTTCTCTTTTTCCTTTTTAATTGCGGAGATTACGTGAATAGGAGTCTCTAAAACGATAAGATTTTTTTCTTTGCTGATCAAGTTTCTGAGGGGAGTAGATAGCTGGAGAAAATCAATCTACCTTTGATATTCTCCATCCAAAGCTGGTTCTTTAATTTTTGAATTGGCAGAAGAAACAAAGTGAAGAAAAAATAGAGCCAAAGGCGTGATAAAAACCGTGAAGATAATTATACATAATTATAGATATGGTAGAAAGAGAGAAATTAGAGATGAGGAAGGGGGGAGGGAGATCAGGAGATTGGTGCGAGTGATATGTTCGTACGTGGGTGGATTAAATGTAAAGGAAAACAGAGAGAAGTGATGAGAGCAGGGAAAAATAGGATCAACATTCGGTGGTGAACAAGGTAGTCAAAAGCGCTTGCACCAGGCGCAACGAGCAGGGCCTTCAGCGCTTGGGAGAAGGGGAGGTGCACATTCCTGGGTCAGTCTCAGCATAAGCGCATTAAGTGCAAGAAGCGCTGAAGCGCAGGGAGGCGCACGCTTAGGTTGCCTGATCCGGAAAAGGCTTGACAAGCCTTTTTTTGGTTTACAACTTTCAAAAATAATTAGCCCATATCTTTAGTAACACTCAGCCCATCTAAATAATAGGGTAAAACCGTTTAAACCTCCGTGAAACCTTGAAGTAAAGTACGTAAAAATGTAAAACCTTGCTTAAAACACTAAGTTATATCACTATTCATCATCGATGATCAATCTACTCACTCTTCTCACTCAAGCTGCTCTACACCCGTCAGTTCTTTCAGTTTTCTTCATCACCTCAAGCAAACTCAGTTTTTGCATTTGTTTAAGTGAAATTTAATTAACTATTAAGTGAATATGTATGGGAAGTGTTGCAATTGTTTTTATTATTCTAAAGAGTAATGTTGCAATTATTCTGGTACTACTAAAAATGGAAAGTGTTGTGATTATTAAAGAATAATAATCACCACATACATATTCACAACACTTTCCATTTTTAAAGAAATATATATATATATATATATATATATATATATAGAGTCCCGTTCCTATCAGGAGCTCCTGAAGAGAAGCCCTGTGCGGACAAGCCCATCAGAGGGTCTTTCCGGTGGAATTTTTTGATGAAATTTTTTGAGCATGTTCCTCATCAAGTCTAGTTTGTCCATACCAAATTTCAGCTCAAAATTCGATCGGGAAGGCAGTCAAATAAATCCGGGAAACATACTGCACTTTATATGTGCGCAGAATGAGCCATAGTTTTCCAGGATTTATTTGACTATCTTCCCGATCGAATTTTGAGCTGAAATTTGGTATGGACAAACTAGACTTGATGAAGAACATGCTCAAAAAATTTCATCAAAAAATTCCACCGGGAAGACCCTCTGATGGTCTTGTCCGCACGGGGCTTCTCATCAGGAACTCCTGATGTGAACTGCCCTCTATATATATATATATATACTATATATATATATATATATATATATATATATATATATATATATATATATATATATATATATATATACTGTACAAATTCATGGGGTTGTCGAAGCGACCAACTAATAGTTACGGTGTTTGGCATGTATTTCTGAGCAGCTTTCGTTTATATTGTTTTTTGGTGAGAAGGCGCCGTGCCCAAATGTCAAGACTCGTGATGATTTCAAAAATTTATTGTTACAGCTGCTTGGAACACAAAGTTATGTTGTGGTAATGATCGCTCTTCTATCTAGATTCATTCATTCATATTTGCACACATTATTTGAGAAGAATTGAAATAATAGTACAGTAATAAGATTCTTAATAATCACATCATTTTTACTGGCTGACTTGATGCACATCCCAGACTATGAGGGCAATGTGTTACTCTTTCACGGGGGATGCTGAAATGGTGGAGACAGCTCTAAATCATCACTTCGCCATGTAATCGGGCAAGCTTCAGTCATGGAGCTACATCCATGGCAAAGCGGGCCAAGGTCCCTGCCAACTTTTCATTTTTTAATTAGTATTAGGTTTTAAATCCCCACCCCTCCCCAACCAAATCTGTTATTCTTTCAAGTACTCCCTAGTCTGTAAGTAGTGCATCACAAAAGTATCTACCATAAGGATGTATGGTGAATTATATGGACCCTTCAATACTTGGATCCCAAATCTCCATTTTAAATCATTTAATTTTAAGGTCGAGTTGAAGAATATTAAAATAGGTTTGGGATACTTGGATGGGAAAAAGGGTCAAATAAGCCCATCTACTATCTTCAAAAGATCGTCTAAGCCCCTCTACTAAAATATGCATCACATTGGTGCATTTACTAGGCCTGGACTTGGGCCGGGCTGGGTCCGAGTTGGGCCCGGGCTGAGCCTAGGCCCGGTCGGGCCTTGGAAGTTTGGGAGTAGGCCCGAGCCCGGCCTGTGCCAGTTCGGGTTGGGTCACCCGCCCGGGTCCCGGGCCGGGCCACTTGCCGGGTCGTGTCAGGGCGTCAGGCCTATAATTTTTTTCCCTTTTCTACTTAATTATACAAGTTTTGCATATTAAAAACAAGCTTCAAGTGTATTTATGTGAAATAGGTACTACATATAAGAATTGAGAACAAAAATACAATATAAAATACATTATCTAATAAATAATAATATACTACCTCTGTCCTACTAAGATTGGGACAAGAGAAGGTGACACGATTATTAAGAAAAGTGGATTTGTGTGATTAATATTAAATTGATAAAGTAAGAATAAAATAAGAATAGTTTAGGGTCACACAAACTTTATCAAATTTGGTATGAGACAATCTTAGTGCGATTTTTCAAAAAGGTAAAACAGAACAATCTTAGCGGGACGGAGGAAGTATTTAATTCTAAGTTGTAACCATTTAATTAATTAATTAATTTGACAAGTGTTGTATATAAAAAAAATGAACGTATATTTATTTGAAATATGAACTACAAGTTTACAAATTACAATAGAGAATTGAGGGAAAAATTAAAATATGAAATTCATTTTATAATAAATTGTAAAATACTAATCGATCAAAATCTCCGACACAAGTAACAAACTTTACCAAATTTGGTATGAGACAATCTTAGTGGGATTTCCCAGAAAGGTAAAACAGGACAATCTTAGCGGGACGGAGGGAGTAATTAATTTTAAGTTGTAACCAATTAATTGATTAATTAATTTGACAAGTGTTACATATAAAAAAATAATTTAAAGCTTATTAAATCTCCTAGTATACGTAAAATCAAGATAATTAATGAATATGTCACACTTCATTGAGTAACGGTCTTTGTTTACAAAAAACTATTAAAGAAAGAAAGATTGATGCATTTAGAATAGAGAATAGAGGAAAATAATTTAGGAGTTTAATTATACGGACTTTGAAACTAGTTTTAATAGAATGAGAAGTTTCTTTAATTGAAAGTCTTTTTCTAGACACAAGCACATGAAGAGATTTCGTGTGTTGTTAGTATATTATATTATACTAGTATTAAATATAATAAAGATTATCAAAACAATATTTTAAAACGGTTCGGTCCGGGTACCCATTTTTTCAAATTTTAAGACCCGCTCAGTTCATAAGTTTTTCAGGACCCGCGCCCCGAACCGTTTGGATTTTCTAAAATCCGAGCGACCCTAACCCGCCCCGAACCTGTATTACCCGGCCCGACCTGCGGTTCCAGTACCCGTTTGCCCACCCCTACTTCTGAAGCTCTAATTTACTCTCAGAATCAGTTTTTTAAAAAGCTGAGAGGTACCAGCTTCTGAAAACTGATTCTGCTTTTGCTTTTAAAAAAGCAGAAGCAGAATCAGTTCCAAACACCCCCTAAATTTAACCAAAAATTGATATCCTAATTAAGTCACTAAAATGAATCGATTTGACCCCAAAAAATCAATTTTACAACTCAATTTGGGATAGAGGAAGTGCTATTTGTATCTAAAACTTTGATTCGTGTACACCGTAGATGATGGGCATTTCACGAATACACAAATAATTTTTTTCGCTTTGTAAAGAGAATCATGTCAACTTAGACACAATTTTCTTTACTAAACCAAAAAAGTTATATGTGCTTATGTGCACAAACAAATGCCCAACATGTACAATGGCATCTACAAACATTTCTCTTGTATCCAAAACCTTACCTATTTTAAAGAGGAAGAAGCGGAGTTTGATTTTTAGGTGAATGAAGTGCACACCCTTTAATGTTCATCTAGGGATGGCCTTGGTCCGGTTCGGGCCTGGGCCCGGCCGGGCCTCGGGTCTGTTTTGTTGGGCCTGAGCCCGAACCGGTTGCCACCGGTTCCGGGTCCGGTTCCGGGCCGGACTGGGCCCGGCCGGGCCACCCAGTTAGTTTTTTGTTTTCCTATTCTTTCCCCCCCCCAAACCGGTCCTAAACATCAAGCCCAATTCAATAAAGCCCAAAAAAATGAAAAAACAAAAAAAAAATAGTTTTTGGCCCGGACCCGGGCCCGACCCGGCCGGTTCACCAAATACAAGGCCCGAGCCCGGACCCCCCCCACCGGGCCTAGGCCCGACCCGGACCCGGACCCGGACCCGAGAACCGGGCCAGGCGGCCCGAACCGGGTCCATGCCTATGTTCATCCAATGTGTAATTGTGTAAATGAGATGCATGTTGTAGCGGTGCTGATTTTGTGTAAAAACTAAAGACATGATCCATACCTCGTATTGTTAACGAGTGAGATGAATGGTGAGAAAATGTGAATAGCAATAAACTGAAATACATACATAAAGTTAAGAGATACATAATGATCCTTCCATGATTAACAGTTAAAAATATACAGAACAGATGGAGGCGGGAAATTTATATCTCATATGGCCCCTATGTTCTTGAGGCCAAGCACAACGCCAACCCCAATGATGTGACCAAGAGAGCCACATGCCAAGGTATCAGCAAGGGTGAACCCGGCTGGGTCCCCGGTTTGGAGCCCGGAGTCCCATCTCTCCAGCTTCAAACCGGCAGTAGCCCTGCGGTTTGCTGACGGAGCCAACCCAAATCTCCCAGCAAATAGCATTAGGCTTGTCGATGTAACCATTATCTGTTCATGATATTCAAATTGTAACTTCTTATCGTGCCAAACAATTGTGGCTTTAGAATTTGGATTCTTTGTGGTGGTGTATGTTCCTAATGAACGTAGTCATTGGGTGATGATCCCAAATTTGGGTAATTTACTTCCAAGAAGCTTATATTGCATGGTATAGAGAGGAGATAAATAATAGATAAATGTATCTGGTTTGATTGCTTAACACTGGTTAGTATGAGTTTGAAAAAAATTCAACTAAAAATATCCTAATTTTCCTCAATCAAGAATTCTAAACCATTGATGAAATAACAAGTTGTAATAGTTGTAGTACAAATTGTGAAAATGGTAACCCATTGTCTTCTATTTTTGTTTTTATAACATTTGAAGATCTCTTACCAAATTGGTGGGCGAGCCAATGAATTCGCAACGAACTCCCAATGCTCCTTGTCCCTTGCGCTTCATTGGTTGTCTGGCAGCCTGCGTGGGACAAATTATAATTCCAGTGCTAGTTTAATTTATGCCTCTACCATCTATTATCCTTGAAATGAGATAGACGGGTTTATAAAAATTAATAGTATACATCTCTTTCATTATTTGAACGGTCTTATAAGAACTTTGGTAAATTTTCCTTCACAATGTCACGTTCAACATCCAGATGTAAACATCGTGGTTGACTTTGTTGAGAAAACGTTCCAAAAAACATATAAGACCATATAAAGAAAGAGAGACATATGTTATTAACTTATTTTTAGGTATCTTTCTTTCACTCGTTCTGATGTCATCTATGCAACGTGCACATTGGTGCATTGAACATGCTCTTAGGTACTACATGTGTCCCAAATTGTATGTCTTGTTTGGTTTAATCAAAAGTTAGTGAAGTAACATGTTTAATGTTTTACTTCTTTCATCCCAAAAACAATGTTTTAGCAATGCTAAGGCTAGCTAACTATTCCATTACAATAGTTAAATTAGTATTAACTATTGACTGCGAAAAACTGAACCATTTTATCATATTTATGATGAATCCGTTTTAATATGTGAGTTAAGTTGATTAAATTAGAATAATAAGATATTATAGTGAGTTGAGTTGAAACATAAATAATGAATGAGAACCCAATGTTTGAGGCTATTTAGTGATTTAATTCATTGAAATTATTTCTTAGTACCACTTTTTTCTTTTTTTGCAAATTGAATCAAATTTTGTAAAATGGATCCGTTTTATGAAAGACTAGGCTTTTAAAAGAAAAATTCTTTTGGGTGACCTAACTCTTTATTTTGCATATTACAAAAAGCCAAGACTTGTGATGAAATTCAATTAGCATGTGTACAGGGCTATAACCTATAAAAAGTCAAAATATCCGAAAAAATAAGACTTGTTTAATATTTGTAATGTTACACACAAATTGATGAATGAGAAACTCGACTGCCATATGCTTGTGTTCACTAATTAACTACAAAAAACAAAACTTGGCACAGACTGATTGTGTTTGACACGAATCACAAGTCATAACATATTTTGACAAATAGTGGATGCCAAATACCAATTTTGATGAATAAGCATGTTCTTAAACAAATTTAGCTGAAGAATAGCAAGTTTGTGAAGTAATCGAGCATAATTCTATATTTCATCTAATATTCCACTGAATAAATCACATGTATATCAAGTTTGGAACCAGATTGGTTAAATGAAAGGTACAAAAAGGAAATTGGCGGAATTCATACCATTGGGAAAGCTGGAGAAGCAATTGCTCTGAGGCCATTGTACTGTGGAAGAGAAGAAGTCCTCATGGTGGCTGCCATGTTCCGTTCTTGAAAGCTCTGGCCCTGGAATTGATTCGACTAACGAAATCAAAGTTTTCTGGCAATATGTGTTTTGGGGCT